ATAATAATAATAATAATAATAATAACAATAATAAAGAGAAGTGCCGAGGAGAAACTTTTTTTTTCCTTTCAGACCGAGTAGTATCGTCAATGATCTGAACATCTCTCTTCCGGCCACATGTCTGACGTCAGCACATACTTAATATATCTAGCCGGAGAGACGATAACCCGGACAGTAGGGACCAACATTTCGGAGGAAATTGCCAACAGCTTCAGCGTAAAAGAGATTCCTATCTTGAAGACGGAGGTATCATGTGTTACCTCTCTACCAAGTTACACGGCGTCACATCCTAGAACGTCATAACATATTATGTGCCACCGTGAGATCGTAACCTCTTGCATATCTGTAACGTCCGAACGTGCTTCGGACTAATGAGTAGAGAGCAAGAGAGAATTTTATTAGGTTAATTTTGCGAGGTTTCTCAACATGTACGCAAGCTTATATTTGCATCACGAGTCTGCAATTTCGTTAACAATGCGAATGGCTGTCTGCACGGTACCATGGCTTCCGTTAATGGACCAGGGTCATTCCTCAGTCAATTTCGCTGCTAATACTATTGGCAAACACCGCTTTGCAAACCTGTTAGTTGTTCATTTTCTTCCATGCAACCGAACCATGGTAGCTGCAGTCACGACATGACCCGGGGCCGATACTGTTCATATTTCTTCATCCACTTGTCGAAGTGATGAAAGCTGGGTTCTGGCAGCAGCACTGGGCTCCAGTCTTTCCATTGGATCTCACAAGGAACAGAAGCGATGCCAATGTGGGCAAGAATGAAAACCTTAGCCATATCATTGAGAATAATGGCGTGTTCATTGTTTTCCTAAGGGGATCACAGTGGCCGAGCGGTCTAAGGCACGCTCGAACACTGGGATTATGGGTTCGAATCCCACTCAAGGCATTAATGTTTGCATTTATACTAGGGGCGTTCAAAAATGATTGACACTAAATGTTTTTTCTTCAGAGTAACCATTTATTGGAACAAAATACATACAGATTATATTAGAGGTATTCCCCGCCAATGTCTGTGCACCTTTGCCCTCGTTCCGGCAGGTTCTGTATTTGCACAGCAAACCATTCTCTGGGGGTATCCCGGCTCCACTGCTGGACAACTGCCTGAAGCTCGTCGTTGGATGTGAATATCTTACCCCGCATGACTTGGTGCTGTTTCCCGACATACTGCTGCTAACCTCGTGAGAATGTGTGAAGCAGCCACTCCTTCCCTCCAGTGAAACCACACAGTCCACTGTTGCCCGTGATTGTCTGCTTCCATGTTGTCTGAGCGTTGCCCACGACTGCACCTGCACACCGCCACGAATGACGCGGCACTGTTCGACCTCTGCGCAGTAGCAACGTCATCTCGTGGCCATAGGCGGCACTACAGTATGTCTTCCCACATAACCGGCTCGCATTTGACACTGCTACTTTTCCGGAGTTATGGAGGGAGTGTCAATCATGTAAGTAGCGGCCTTGCGGCAGGCTGATCCCCTATCCAAGGAGCCCTACCGACTAAGACGAAGAAACTGAAGTGAAACAAGCGTTTCACTGACGCCCTATGCTCCAAGTGGGAGCAACAGGAATAGATAGATATTGTGGTCTAAAACATCTTTAGGTGTACGTCATAACTTGAGTAAGCAACCATACGGGATAATGTCCTGTGTGTTTAATAAGATTTCAAGTATTCCAATCTGGGCTGCTTCGTGTTTTGAATATACCTGTATAGTAATATTCTAATGATTGTGGAACGATCTGACAACAATGTACAGTGGAAAACGCTTAAGACACAACATAGGCACGGTTCTTTACCATTTCGATGTTTGAAGGATACCGACGTTCATTTTCACCACATCATCCAGATCGGATACGGGGCCCAGTGGGTGCCTAGAGCAATTTTGGGGGCAAAAAGCGACCGGAACATGAATCTCACCACTCACTTTCATGCAGCGGTGAGGTTAAAAATGCCCAATATTTTGTTTCTGCTTCCTCTATATTCCCTCTTAGCTTGCAGTTTAGACAGCCTTTAGCCGATCTTGGACTGGAAGCCAGAACTAACCTGTTACTGGAGAACTTCAGGAAAGTAAAGGACTAAATTGATCTTCAGGAGTTGTGCCTACAAACTCACGCTTTTCATCAGAAGCTTGCATTCAATTAATTCGTGTATATCTTTAGACTTATAACCAGATAATACTACGGGACAAATCAAAGCCTAAATTTTAATTTATTGATGTCACCATCTGGTCACACTATTATTTTTTTATTGCTAGTGGGGTGGGACTATGTCCCTTGTACTGCGGCCACTTCTGGCCTATTCTACCAGCCACAGATGATAGGTGAGGGTGATTGTGGAGCAGTTGGTGGAATTAAGATTGGCAGGGGAAACCGAAGTACTCGGAGAAAACCTGCCCCAGCGCCACTTTGTCCACCACAAATCCCACTTGACCAGACTCGGGATCGAACCCGGGCCGCCGTAGTGGGAAGCCAGCGACTAACCTCTTGAGCTATGGAGCGGCCTTTGGTAACAATAACAATCACTTCGAAATCACAGTGAAAATGTTTTCACGTGTAGGGGAGTACAGTTTGAAGAAAACTGAAACTAAATAGAAGCAACGTAATTTTTGTGGTTAGGTTTATCGAATGAACAAGCATGAGATGAAAGGGGCATGAATTACACATGAATGAGATGAGAAATGCATACTGGAATTTTTGGCTGCAAAACCTGAGGGAAATGCGCTTATACAACATATATATATATATATATTGTAGCGTGTTTTGCGACTGAATACGCCGTTCGGATTGTTAATTGGTTTATTTAACAACCTACATGTCTCGGCTACAATTTATTATAATAATGTTAGGGGTTTCCACACTTTTCAAACCCTACACACAAATCTCTTCACACTCTCCTCAGGAGTCTACACGTATTCACAGTACGGGAGCTATACCAGTGTCACTGTGTCACACACTCCCAATTACACTTCTCTTGTGAGCCAAGCATCTGCTTTTCAGGCCAACTTCATCCGGGATACACAAATTCCTTGGGTTAGTTCCTTTGGCTCTCCACGTCGCCCTGCAGCATGCTTCTTGCCCCTATGCCGCTTCTTCCGTCCTTTGATCGGATTCACTACCGCATCTTCGTTGGGACTTCTCGTTGTTAGGCCACCTCAGATTTCCTGTCCACTGAGGACGGCTCTTTTTCTTCTAGACGTGCCCCCATCTCTTGGCAGGCCATCGTCTCTTTTCTGGTATCCGTACTTTCTTCTTGAGGTTCTACTACCGGTATCACTGTAGGGACCTCTTCTTGTTGTGCCACCGCAGGTTTCGTGTCCTCTGAGACAAGCTTTTCTTCTTCTAGATGTGCCTCCTTCTCTTGGCAGGCCATTGTCTCTACCTCTATTTCGGTTTAATTGCGTACACCATCTCCATGTGGCTGGTGCCTATATTTTCTCGCATGGCTTCCGTCCTTGCTCTGATTGCTTTAATTTTATTCAACTTATTTGACAGTGAAGACCCTCGGGAGCGTGATTTTCTTAAGACAGTTCTGCATCGCATCTATGGAAAATTCCTGGGGCTACGTGCTTTCATACGCAAACAAATGAATAACATCTTCCTTAGGTTTGTATATGAGACAGAGCATTTTAATGGTGTTGGAGAGTTATTGGAAATATTAGGAAGCATTATCAACGGCTTTGCTCTACCGCTGAAGTCAGAACACAAGCAATTCCTCGTAAAGGTTCTGCTGCCACTGCACAAAGTTAGATGTCTGTCATTGTACCATGCACAGCTGACATACTGTGTGGTTCAGTTCCTTGAAAAGGATGCCACGCTATCTGAAACTGCTGTTAAAGGGCTACTCAAGTTCTGGCCTCAAACGTGCAGTCAAAAAGAGGTGATGTTCCTTGGTGAGATTGAAGAAATTTTAGATGCAATTGAACCATCACAGTTTGACAAAATTCAGGAACCGTTGTTCGGACAAATTTCAAGATGCGTCTCTAGTCCTCACTTTCAGGTGGCTGAACTTGCACTGTACTTCTGGAATAATGAGTACATAATGAGCCTGATTGAGGAAAACAACCATGTGATCATGCCAATAATGTTCCCAGAAATGTACCGCATCAGCAAAGAGCACTGGAGCCAAACAATTGTGGCTCTTGTGTACAATGTGCTCATAACCTTCATGGAGATGAACAGTAAGCTTTTTGATGAGCTCGCAGCTTCTTACAAGGCTGAGAGACAAAAATGTGTGACTAGCAGTGTACTGTGAGGGCAGAGAGAAGATAGTTCTTGTGTGCAGAGTGGGCAGTGTGCGCCGACAGAAGATAGTGATTGAACTGGACAGACGTCCATCATCTCCTTCAGTTCTCTTCGGTCGGTCTCTCTGTCATCCTCCAATCTGGTCAGCAATTCCTTGAAGCCGATCTCCACCTTTTCTTGATAGGAGTCTAATTTTTCCATAAAGTCTTCTTTGTCTTCTTTTCTATTGGCCTCCATTTCGTCCTTCTCGGCCTTCCAATCGGCCTTCATCTCTTCTTGATGGGTTCGGAACATTTCTTGCATCTGCATTCGGTCAGTATCTGCTATTACTTGGTTAGATTTCACGTTGGCGTCAATTCTTGCCAGCATTTCCATCATCTGCTGCATCTCCCGTTTGTAGCAGTAAAATATTCGATGCACAACAATCTGTTTGTGGCGTGTTTAAGTTCGTAAACAATTCTGACACCAGTGTAGCGTGTTTTGCGACTGAAGACGCCGTTCGGATTGTTAATTGGTTTATTTAACAACCTACAAGTCTCGGCTACAATTAATTATAATAATGCTAGGGGTTTCCACACTTTTCAAACCCTACACACAAATCTCTTCACACTGTCCTCAGTAGTCTACACGTATTCACCGTACGATACGGGAGCTATACCAGTGTCACTATGTCACACACTCCCAATTACTTCTCTTGTGAGCCAAGCATCTGCTTCTCAGGCTATCACTTCTAGTCGCACGTTCCGGTATTCTTCTTTCCGGTCGGCTACTGTTTCATCCGCACTGTGTCACTTCTGCTCACACACTGACTGACTGACTCCCTGGCTAGCGCGTAACTGTGTTGATCCGGCTCACACACTAACTGCTCACTGATGGCTAGATTCCAACTGTCTTCTTAGGCAGTTCAGTTCTCTTATAGACCCTCAGCCGGACAACGGGGAACGTTTCGCTGCCTTGTTGCCTAGTTGCCGTGTTTACCGATAGCCTAGCAACGCTGCCGGGAATTGTTTACGGCTAGGTAGCAACTGCGGCGTCCCGTGTTACGTCACCGCGGGGAGAGACGGGGTGTTGACTGGCTTATTACCATAGCAACGGCAACGCTCCGAAAGTGTTACGTCACCGCTGGGGTGGGAGGGTGTTTCCTCCATAGCGCAACACGTAACAATATATATATATTGTCACGTGTTGGGTGTATAACGCGACAAATAACTTCACGCCTTATTGGATTGATTGATTGATCAGTAACTGTCNGCCTTATTGGATATAGCGAATTTTATTTCACATTCGCACTTACAATCACCCAAATTACAGATTCACAATTACTGCTATCTGCAGTATCACAAATGCTACACTGCAAATGCCAGACTACAACTGACTGGTTGTTGGCTAACTCGTTACTCTCCGCTGGCTAAATGGAGAACTGTTGATCACACACTGGCTCGGAACTAACTCAGAACTAACTGTGAATAGCCTTCGCTGCTCCTTATGTAGCCTCGTTCCGGACAACACAGAAAACGGCCACGTAATAGGCACCATTGTTGTGTGGTGCCGTGTTGCTATCAACGCTGTCCGGAGTTGTTTACTGCTGCCTAGCAACCGCGGTATCCGTTGGTGACGTCACCGCTGTTGACTCGCGTTGCATAGCTACCAGGATGCTGGGACTCGGCTAACTTCGGCTCCGCTCGGCTCACTTCGGCTCGGCACGTCACCGCCGCCGGGGGGGGAGTCGTGTCCTGCATAGCGCGACACGTCACACTATATATATATATTGTTACGTGTTTTGTGTGTCACGCAACAAACAAATCCGCGTAGGTCTCAAATTCCGTAGAACCTTTATTGTTCTTCACACTTACACAATCACACGCTTTACAATTGTTAGCACTTGCAGTATTACAATGACTGCCAGTACATCTGTACCTCTGGGCATCTGTCGCGTGACTCTCTTCTTCGGCGGTTGATTCCAGACTGTCTGTCTCTCGTCGAAGCTTGGGTTTATAACCTCGGTCGCTGCTATGCAAACGAGCCTTTGTTATAACCGTGGAAACTCATCTCTATGCAATGCTCACTGTTAGAATTACAGTATCGCTATTGTTACTTCTAGGCAACGGCCTGTTCTAGCGTTTCCATGGAAGTAACTCTTCTGGATTCCAAACATGTGACAATATATATATTCCTGGGTAGTATAAGTGTAAAGGTAAAGTTTCCCCTGCGCTTAATTAATTAAGTACCGTGCCATAAAGGCCTGTGTAGTGGCAGAGTTACAGCTCCACCATTCTTGACCTTGACTAGATGGAGATGAGTGGTCAGATTCACGCTCCGGCCGCTTCAGTCCCGGAAAAGAGCGCTGGTCTGGACACTGCAGAGTAAAGAAAAATGTCTTGCCCCTACCGGGAAACAAACCCCAGCCAACCAGTCCTTATACAAACTGAGCTATCCCGGCTCGTGGATAGTATTAAGATAGTTCTCAATAACAGGAGTTTTGAGCGCATGGATTGAAGTATGGGCCAGTGGCGGTGTTAAGTAAACACAATCATGTAATTTCAATTTCCAGAAAAGACATACTTTCTTCATTAGGCAATAATAATGGCAAGAAGAAGAACAATTTGGGGGGGGGGGCACGCGGTAGCGTAGCTGGTTGAGGCACTATGCTACAAGCCGGAAGGTCGCGAGTTCGAATCCTAATGCAATAGTTGGGTTTCTCTATTGACCTAATCCTTCCAGGCGCACTATGGCCCTGGTGTCGACTCAGCCTCTAACAGAAATGAGTACCAGGAATCTTCCTGGGAAGTAAAAGGCGGCCGGCGCGTGAAGGCTGACAACCTCACCCCCCATCTGTGTGCCGATTGTTTAGAAAATGTGGGATCCTCGACGTCTCACAACGCTATGGGGCTCCACGGCTATTCTCGCTCGAGTCTGACTCCTTGTAGCTGAGTCGCTCAGCCATGCTACACTGGGTCCATATATAACAAGTTCATTTGGCAGAGAGCCGCTACGTAGACAAGAAACAAACTATGAGGTGTACAAACTGTGCTAACCTTCTTCAGGTTGGGAATGAGTTACGTAAACGTGTCTCTCGGAAACAGCGGTCTGTTGCTACGTGAAAACACGTGACACGTTGTGATGCCAGTAGAAAGACCGCTTCTGCAATATTTTTGCATACTTAGGAACGAAACAAAAATAAATCTTTTTTTTTTTTTTTAATAATTGAACGCAAGAAGCCAGTGTTTTGGTGGAACTGTTGTCACCGGAGCAAGACCTACGCTGGGGCCCACAGGGGCTAAAGGAGTGGAGGTAACCACTCACCTCTGTTTATTGCCGAGGTCAAGAATTGTGGAGTTTTCATGGCGTGGTGCTTGGTGCGCAGGGACAACCTTACTGTTTACTTGAATGCGCCATATTCCATTGTTGCAGCAAAGGAACTTTGCAAGTGGGTACTGGGCGTGTAGTTCCGTTCACTGTCGTCTGGACTGTGCCGATATTTCGCAACCAACCCGTAACCTTAATTCTGTTTCCTTCTGAAGGGCATTACGCTAATTCAAGGCATACACGCATAGACTGATGTTAACACGAAATGAACTTTCTGCTGTAGTTAGAGAGACATATGGACTGGTTACCTGAGGTGAACAAGGTAACTTGCTCTTGACTTCGTGAGGTCAGCCATTTTAGCAGCTTGCACCGCCAAGCGGGGGCATCGCACCGTGATTAGGCCTTCAGTCAGTTATACGTATTCGTATTTCTCTGCTTTGGATGACCATTCACACGCGCATGCACACACACACACACACACACACACACACAATGACCAGAAAATCATTTCGGTTTTCTTCCCCCTCCCCCGCCCCCTCCCCCCAACCCTAACCCAAGGCGATGTGTTGCTGTGTGACCATATGAGCCCGACTATAAGGCAACCCCTTGTATTTCCAATGAGGATATCGTAAGAGAAAGTTTTTATTTTTTAAAAACATTCAATATGTCATTTATTTATGACTGTTGTAAGCATAAATAAGTAAAAACTATACTATTGAGAAATAATAGTCCCCCTCTGTGGTGTAGTGGTCAGAGTTCCTGGCTACAGATCCAGAGGTCACGGGTTCGATTCCCGGCACTACCAGATTTTCTGAGAACTAGTGGGTCTGGAACGGGGTCCACTCAGCCTCGTGAGGATAATTGAGGAGCTATTTCAAGGAAATAGCGGCTCCGTTCTAGAAATTCGAGATTAACGGCCGTGGGGATCCGTTTCTCTGACAACATGACACCCTCTATCCGCAAAAGTTGGCATTAACTTCAAGGACAAGCGGCGGTAGCTCTGTGGGTATAGTTCGCTTGTGAACTACAGGCCACGGAGTTCTCTTAGTTGAGAAATAATAAATTCAAGTTTAATACTTTAGATGCAGTTCTAGGCAGTATCACAAATATCACTGGAATTAGTTTTTAGAACTCCTTATAATCGTCTTTCTCATAGTCACTCTTTCTTTTTCCTTGGCACTACAGCCCCAGTGGGCCTAGGCCTACCTCCATGAACTTCTCCGTTCACTTCGATTTTTCTAGATCTTACACATTCGGTATGACTCCTTGGGCGGGTGATCAGCTCGTCGCAAGGCCTCTACCTGTACACAAACACAGAAAAACGCACACAAACATCCATGCCCTGAGTGGGATTCGAACCCACAATCCAGGCTTCCGAGCGAGCGAAGACAGTGCATGCCTTAGACCGCTCGGCTACCACGACCGGCCATAGTCACTCTTAGGAGCTTGAAAACAAGGTGACCTCTCGTTTCTAAGAAGCGTTATTAAAGAAAACTCACTTCGTATTTGGGCTAATGCGGTACATTTGGATTCGTTATCTTTCTCTGGGCCCTTTCTTTGGCGGGTTGAAGCGGACATCCTAATCTGAAAACTAAATTTCAACCTAAGGAAGACGGGAGTGTTCTTGGACAAAGTAACATTTGAGGCAGAGTTCTGCGCAGGTGCACCAGCCCTCATTTCACAAAGGTGCTCTTCATTCGGTGC